ATCTATAACGCTGCTGCTTCCTTTGAGAATACACGCAGGATCACTCTCGAGGAGAAAAGACAACACAGAAAGAATCGTGTCTTGCTGATACCATCCAAGGAGTCTTTCTGCTGTGCCTTTTGTAACCGGACTTGTCTATCTCTCATTGGCCTCTTTAGTCACCAGCACGCTTGTAGCAAATGTGGGTAGAGCGCTTCCCAAAGCTTCATTCGCGAAGCCTAGCCATGATGATGACTACATGTACTGAAATGTTTACAATGTTTACGATGTTTACAATTGAACAAGTTCTCTTAAAAAATAATAAAAAAGGGGGTTTTGTGGGAAACAGGGCCTGGAAAAAACCCAGATCGTGGCAGAGAACAGAGTAACTCATTACAGGAGTGAGCTGTAACTCCAAAACCTGCCGTTTCAACTGCCATGACAGGCAGCAGCCAATCAGATGCTGCAGTCACAGTTTTTACCTTATAAGGTATGTTTGTCTGTTGGTGTTGGGTTATAAAAGGGGCTACGACCCCAACAAACTTGTCTCAGCTTCACCCCCCTGAGTCTGTGCCTCAGTACACCACAGGATGACAGTGATTTTTCACATCTAAAGCTGCATGAAGTTAACACAATAGATATAAGTGAAAGGGCACGGAAAAGGGAAAAATTTGTTGCACCAAAATTGTAATTGACATAAAAATTGACATGTTATCAGATAGAAGAATCCATATAAGCAAGACTTCATACCTGCCTCAGCTGAGAGAAAACTCAAAAACTGTAGGTCAAATATCAAGATGATCTAAGGTTTGTATTACAGTCCATCAAAATCAATCTTTTCTCAAACTTTAAAGCCAATTTAAAAAGTAATTTAAAAAGTAAACAATTAAGTTTTTAAACAGCAGATTTTTAGACAAGAATGGTATTTATATTTAGTTTTAGCTTTGTATCTCTCCCTTTACACAACTACCTGTTCTTCAAAGGAAAGATTTTAAACTTTGTCATTCCTGACTCATGATCCAAAAGATACTAGTACTTTTTTTTTTTCTCTCCTTCGGTAAAAACTTGCATGGCAAAGGACTGGAGCAGAAAATAGAAGTCTACCAGACTTTTCATTCAAGAATGTAAAATTCACCAAAGCCTAAAAACCTGTAAGTTTGAGCCCAATGTATGTTTAACACTAGTGCTATTAAGATAGAAGAGAGCCACTGTAAACACAGTAAGTGAGAGCAGGAGACCTGACAAGGTTGGGATGGAGTGCAATTGTTCCAAGCAGACTGGCTGGAACCAGATCTAGGAAGGTGAGTACAATAAAGTAGGAAATGTGTAATTATGTAAATAAAGGCTTCACGAAATACCCTTACATTCCAACACGATCTAAACAACCTGATCGAATTAGCAGGGAACATTCTTTCTCATTAATTAATGCAATGGTGCCACCACTTTGATTTTCTTCCCAGATAACTAAGATGCTTTTTGTGAATGCCACGAGATGTTTTAAATAGCTCTGTACTGCACAAAAATTTTGGACGTTCTACATGTAGTCTGAAGCTCGTTCACAAAAGGGCTCATAGCAACCTAACTCTCAGGTATATAAAGAAACAATGAGAACCCTCTCCAACAGGGAACTTCAATATTTTGAAGTTCAGTCCAGAAGTATTTCATTTATACAGCTGACTTACAGACAGAGATCTACACTCCTAATTAAATGCCTGCATAGCCTATAAAATATATGAAAATATCTGGCACATTGGAATGGAACTGCAGTGTAGTGTCAGAAGCAGCACCTGGAGAAGCAGGAACTAAAGCTAGTTCATTCCTTTTCAGCACAAGCATTCAAAAGGTATCTGGAAAATACGTCCATCAAATACCTCACCTGTGGATTTCAAGTTGCTTTGGAATGAATTCTACCTTTATGTTGACACATAGGTTAAACAGTTACACTGGCATTATGATTCCCATGTATCTTAGGTAAAAGCCTGAATTCCATTTGCTCTGTAACCTCAGGTATTTCAAAACCTATGCTTCCCTGTGTCCCAGAAAAGTGCTCCAAGTTCCAGTTCCCAAAAGAAAAGACTTACTGGCTAGAGGAAATCAAAATATAATCTAGTTTGGAAGATATTTTAACAATGTACAATGTGACTTGGGGGGAACTTCATTTGTAAAGATGACTTTCTTTTATAATCCACATAAGTATTTTCAGAAACAGCTGTATGTACCTTGCAAAGAAGTGAGTGAACTGAAAACCATGGCCCAGGTGACTAAGCTGTAATGACTTCTAGTTATTACAACAGATTAAACATTCCTGAATGTTTAAGTGTTCTAAGTCTGAATAACTGATGTGTTCAAAATGGTTTAGGAAGTTGTTTAAAAAAAAATATTGTTACTTTCTCTTCACAAATACAATGGCAGAGCAACCAACTAAACAGTGATATGATAACTTCAAAGATTATTCAGGCATACAGGTTTACCAAGGGCATTCTAAAATGAGATTAGAGTGATAATGGAGCACAGAAACAGCAGATTCAGTATAACAGTTCTTCAAAATCTCAAGGTGATCACAGTATTTGGTCTCTAATCCATAGCAAATGCAATAACAACTTCCATTTTTATTTTATTTTTAAATAAAAAATAAAATGTATCATTATTATGAAATATAATAGCCAACTGTCAATTCTATTTGGACTAAAAACTCAATTGTTTGGTTTTATTAAGGAAAAGGTTAAAAAATGTGCTTTTACAGTGACTCCACAGAAATATCCTAAGAACAAATGTAAAACCATTAACTATACTGAAAGCATAAGGATCAGAACAATTCTAGAATCAGTGACTAGATCCCTGTCCAACAGAATTTGTCTTTCAGTCCCTGCTACCTACCGCCCTTCTGAATAAGCTTCACGACCTAAAGATGACCTTGCATATCTTGGTGTAGGATCTTGTTTCTTTTATGTTGAGAGAGGTCTTGTTGCATAACATACAACGTTGTTGTTAATTCATTACACATTAGCTGTTGCTTATAAGCACATTATCTGATGTCTGTGGAAATATGTGTACACATAGTGTCCTTTTACTCAGTTATCAAAGAATCTCTCGCTCTCCAGTATTCTTCCACACACACTAAATCTGTATTTGTTAGTTCTCTGAGCTTTTTATTCACTATACACTGGAGAGATGTTCTTCCTAGCTTCATTTCTTCTATCTTCTATCCTGTGTTTTTGAGGGGCTGATTTCCAACAGCAACTTCCTGAAACTGCAGCAAGATCACAATCTGCCCTGACAGACTAGCAGAGGTCACATTTGGGGGCAAGCAGGGGGAGGACAGATGGACACAGGATGGAACACACAAAAAACCCCCAAACCAAAACAAACTGTTCAAGACAATAAAGTTTTGGAAAATGTATTCACGCTAACATGAACTTGATTTTGGACAGGAAGAGGAGCAGAAACATTTAAAACCTTCTACCAGAAGTGGAAACAAAACAAGGCTTGCTCAGGGGAAACAGCAGAGTGCAAACAGATCAGGACACTGATGGTTTGACATTTTCATATGCATGCAGGCGAAACATTAAACCAGCCTTCAGTTCCGAGCATTTTATTACCCTCAAATTCTTAAGGCAAGCTGTGAATGTTCCAAGTATTAAGAATTAAAAGAAAATTATCAAGTATCTCTAAATGCAATTAAGCTTCTCAAAAAACAGCCTCAATAAGGCTAAAAAAAAAGTTCTAAGGGGAACTACTGCAAAGTGAGGAAGGAACTGCAGGTGCACATAGCTGTGCGGGAACACAGGGTACTCTGCTAATAGCACTACGCCTCGCTGAAACAACTGAGTCAGCAGAATTTCTATTTATATGCTCTCTTCCTACAATAGTCACAGTCAAGGCAGGAAACTCAGCAGTCCTGCTTCAAGGGAGAAACTGGTGTGCTTGAGAAAGGATCAGCAGTATGGTGTAAGGTAATTCTACCTTTTAAGCTAATACAGGAGTCAAAATCCATTGGTAGAAAACAATTAGTTCTTGATGAAAGTCATTAAGATGGAGTTTTTGTGCCTTCTCTGTCTCTTTGTTTCCACAATAAGACACAGCCTCATTCAGAAACCTATTTGGTACACAAGTATCCAAGCAATTCTTAGTAAGCCCGTTTTGTCTTCCATAGGTCTGCATGTGGAAATGGCTCAGATCCTACACCAGTTTTCCTTTCGTGAGGCTGATATTCATGATGCTACTTAAGACACATTTATTGGTGGGATTTTATTTTAGGTAGCTGAGGAATGAATACTGTCTGTGTGTTCACCAAAACAAAGTAATTCTTGGACCTGTTTGCTTAAGTTCTCCTACAATACAAAGTTGTTCTCATGTCAAATGGCTACTTTCTGTCATAGTCAAATTCCACAACTAGCCAAACCATTACTGAGGAATTCCTTCTGATTTCACGTTCTTAAGAAATTATCCCATTTCCAACACTCATATTAAATGTAGTATCACTGGTATATAAACAAAATAACAAGACTTAACACTCCACTGGGAAAAAAAAGTACCAAAATGTTTCCCCAAGTGAGTGGAAATCTGCAATGAAAAAAATATGTAAAGTTTCTAAAAGATCAATGTGCTTAATTCTAAAAAAGCATGGCGTTATACCTAAAACAAACAATTGGCTCTTTAGGTATATAATCACTGACACAAAAAAGCTCATCAACAGCTGAGACTATAAATTTACTTTCTAGTCTACAGGTAACAATAAGCAAGCATCTATACTTATGTCCCATGTAGTTTTAATATCACAGAATATGCTGAGTTGTAAGGGACCATGTCCAGCCCTTAGCCCTGCACAGGACCATCCCCAGGAGTCACACCATGTGCCTGAGAGTATCATCCAAAAGTTTTTTGAACTCTGTCAGGCTTGGTGCTGTGACCACTTCCCTGGGGAGCCTGTTCCAGTGCCCAACCACCCTCTTGGATGAAGAACCTTTTTCTAATATCCACCCTAAACCTTCCCTGACAACTATGATCATTAAATGGATGCAAATTGTTACCGTTTTATCCCTGAGTCGTTCTCCATGGATAAGAAAATCAGCACAGCTATTCTCTTCCTGGGGAATGACTTTGAAGACTGTGACACAGCTTAGTCCACCCCCTCCAAGTGGTAACCATCCACCACTTGAGTCATCCCGGGTCATCACCACAGCTCGCACTCGTGCATAACTATTACTGAAAGAGATGCAAAAGAAGAAATTAGTTTTTCAAAAACAGAAACCAGCAAAGTCTAGTTAAAAACAAAACAAAACAACAAACCCATAACCAAGGTCACAATAATTAACACTGTCTTTCCACAACTGTCATCTTAGAAGAAACCCATAGACCACACTCTAAAAAATGTTCCTCTGTACTTTTATGACTTCATTAGGACTTTTTGGAGCTTACATGTAATTTCTTGTAAAGAAACTTAACCAGAGAATATAGTTCCCAAATCAAAACTGATATCCTTCTAAAAACTTCACAGTCAGTAATCTAGCTAGAGGGTCAGGAAGAGAGTAAGAATCAACTCCCGATTTATTTTAGACTAATCATGAAGCCAGTCAGTCACCATGAAATTGCATAGAAAAGAGAACAAGAAAGCAGAAAGAGGTCAGGCCTTCCGTCACTGAAATCTAAACACGAACAGGCTTCTAGCCAGAAAACCCTGCTTCCCTTCATCCATCCCTCCTCCCCACACACATAACCTGTCCTTTGCAAGGGTGGGTCGGGACACACACATTGTGGGGTTCAACAACAGAACCAGTTACAGATACTTAAAATTACTATTTGCAGTATCTACTAGCTGGTTGTCTCCTGTAATGAAAGCATTTCACAGCTTTTTCCCATCATTTAACGTTTTTATAAAATACACAAATGATTATCATGTCATTACTTAGGAGCCAAATCGCTTTTCAGAAAGGAAAAAGAGGTTTTGGTGATCTCTCTCTCTCCTTTTATTTCTTCCTTTTCAATTAAATGACAAGTTTTAATTTTGATTATGAATTTGCCAGTATATCACTTGGAAAACTCCATGGTTTACCAAGGATATTATAAGATCCTATATTCGAAGTATGGTTTACTGCATGAATCTAACAGTTGATGAATGAATATTCAAACACCTTAAATATGATTCATGTTATCTTTTGCAACATATTCTGGATTGAGGGTTTAAGTACTTATGCCAGCTGACATTAGTGATGTCAAATTTAAGGGCTGAAAAGGAAATATTAGAAGAGGACAAAGTTATTCCTTCTGTACAAAATTACTTGTGATAAAACCATTCACCAAGCTACTGTACTTTTAAAAGATCACTGCTTTATTTTTTCCCCCCAACTATACTAAAATAACCAAGGTAGGCTTTTTTATGTAATTAATATATTACATTCTCAAACACACATATGATTCACACATATGATTCATTTGTGTGTGTGTGTATATATATATATGTGTATAAAAAGGAATTCTGCTGCAAGCATCTAAGCTTAAATACATAATGGTTTGCAAAACGGAAAATAAAACAAGATTATAAATCTTTAGCTTACAGGCAGCTGAATTTGTTAATAGATTTTGTTTGCCCCCTCCAAGCAAATCCCAGCCCCCTCCTCTCTCTAAAAATCACAGTTAAAATGACAGTTCAGTCAATGTTTCTCACCATTTCTGTACCAACTTACTTCAGTAACTACTCAAACACAGCAGACAAATATCATGAAGAAAAATCCAATCCTTCTCTGTATGCATCTATCGCAATTCTAATATCAGCAAACAAAAATGGCTACATCTTGATGCTTAATACTGTTACTGAAAGTTGAATCATTCATTCATTGGTCTCTATCACCCTATTCACTCCAATACAGGTTCAAATTGTAGTTGTACACTTCAGACACAGGTAGTCTTTCGTCTCATTTCTCTCAGAAGAGCCTCTTCTGACAGAAACTGAGGACACCGGGACTTTTCTCTGAAAAAGTAAGAAACAGGATGCACCAACTGGTTAAGCCTACAACTGTTTTTGCTATTGCCCATTTAAGTGAAACACAAATTTAGCTCTGAAGTTATTAATTCTATAAATTTGGTTGTAAAGAGTTCAGTTAAACATTATTTAGGGATATCACAGAACTTCCCTTAGGCTACATAAGAAAACTTAAACTATAACGTATTAATTTTTCCTAAATGAAACTTTACACTCCACATTAATTTTCTTTCCAAGAATTGCTAAGAAGATGTAAAGATGGAGGTTTCTTTATCATACCCTGTCAGTGTTGGGGTTTTCCCCCCCTCCCTATACTGAGATATCTAGTCTAATTAACAATCTTGTGTTTTGCTTCCGATATATTCCAAGTGGTTTTAAACATTTATGCTTTCAAATATTTTGGAAATGGCTACCAAATCCACTGCATTAGTACAAGAGCCCAAAATAAAATTCCCCAACAGTAAATATTACTGAATAACCTCTTAAATTGAAATAGTTTTTCCATACAACCTCCCTGTAAATAAAATAGATAAATTCATTACTTTACTTGCAACAATTCCAAAGACTACAAAGAGATTTTTTAGTTTTTTAGTTTCTGTTGGTGGCTGGTTTTTAACATTATTTTTTATATTTGAATGGAACTCACAATTGGTAACAAATGCTATTTTTAGTGACAATACAACTGGTTTGCAATTAGCCAAAATGCAGTGGCAGGACTTACAAATGATTTCCATTTCCAAAATCCTCTGTAAACAAAACAACATCTGCCTGTCTCACTACTGGTGTCACCAAAAGCACTCAGATGTCTTTTATCTGTAAGTACTATAACCCCACCTACTCCTGGGAACTTCAGAACAAATTGCTAAACTGCTGGTCTAGCTTAGCTGTGGGAAAAAGGGTAGACAAGGCTCCAGTGTTTTGCTAACACACTCTAACGTTTTTACTTCCTCCTGCATATTTAGTAGCTCTATCAGGAATACCTGAACAAAAAAAAAACCCACAAAAACAGGGCAATCAGTTGAGCATTGCTCTTATGAAGCCTTTTACCGGAGCTACCACGAACATGGGAAATGGAGCATGAAGAGCAGCATGCAACTGCAGGCCCAAACCTAGTGTACTGCAGCCAGCTTTTCCTGAGACTCCCTGATTTTGCTTGTGGCCACTTGCTCTTGAGGCAGAGCAAGGTTTACAGGAAATGGTATTCTGGTCATAGGAGTATGCTGCTTCCCAAAAGTCAGTGCTGAGCACCAGTGAAAAGTGGGGACAAGAATATCGTCCAAGATCAGTTCCTAACAACAAAGAAAACAGATCTTCTCTCTCATGTCCGAATGCCTCAGGTAAGGACGTAAGAGTACAGTATTCTTCTGTGGTTACAGGAAGTTATAAATCGAGATAAAGGAGAAAAAGAAAAAAAAAAAAAGGTTATCTACAGTGTTTTTCCCCCTAGTAGTTAGGACTTACTGAACAGTACAGCATATGTTTGAATGCTAAACCTATTAAAACTTAAATAAGGCAATTTGAAGATAGCATACACATAGATAATATGTGTATAATATTGTATATATATTGTATATATCTTATAAATGAAAATCCAGTCCTTGCCTGCCATCAAGTTGCAAATTTTTTTTTTTAGTACTATAAAGCTCCTATCATTACCATCAAGAAACCTGGATGCGCAAGTGGAATTCTAAACTGAACCATAGGAGAAAATGACCCTCTTAGATTTGGTAAAAATATGGTCTCTTTCAAAACTGGAAAGCAGATTTGCAGAAAAGGACCTCAACTTTCATACGGATACCAAGCTGAACATAAGCAAAAGCATGCCCTGGGGACAAAGGAGGCCAACAATATCCCAGCTGCATTAGAAGTGTTGCCAGTAGGTCTCAGGAGGTGATCCCGCCCCTCTTCTCAGCACTAGTGAGGCCAGATCTGGAGAGCTGAGTCCAGTGTTGGGCTCCCAAATAATGAAAAACATGGAGCTCCTGGAGTGGGTCCAGCAGAGTGCAACAAAAATGATTAAGGGACTGAAGCATCTGTCATATGAGGGAAAGCTGAGGGAGCTGGGGCTGCTCAGCCTCAAGAAGAAAAGACTCTTGGGTATCTTATCAGTGTATACAAATACCTGAAGGGAGGGTGCAAAGAGGATGGAGACAGGCTCTTTTCAGAGGTGCCCAGTCAGAGGACCAGAGGCAACAGGCACAAACTGAAACACAGGAGGTTCCATTTGAACATCAGCAACCACTTTTTCACTGTGTGGATGCCTGAGCACTGGCCAGGTTGTCCAGAGAAGTTGTGGTGTCTCCATACTTGGAGAGTTTCAAAAGATATCTGGACACAGTCCTGGGTAATCTGCTTTAGGATGCCCTTCCTTGAGCAGCAGGTGTGGACAAGATGAACTCCAGAGGTGCCTTCCGAGCTCAATTATTCTTTTTTTTTTTTAAATTTAATATCATATTTCAAAGCACAGCAATTTCAATAAAATACAATTTCATAAATATAACCAATATGGGTTAATTTATGAGAATTCATGATACTTCGAAGCAAGAGTTGTCACTGTGCACAACTGCTATTTAAACACTTCTGACAAGGGGAAAAAAAAAAAGGTGTTCTGAAAAATCGTGACACACTCTGCTATGAGATTACACTATCTTTGCTGGCATGCAAGTAACAGCTCCAGGCTGATCTGCAAATGTGAAACGGTCATGGATCAAGGTTCTTTACCTTTGACTGGCACTTTACACACGTACTTTAACCCTTCCAACTTCTGGTGCAATATCCTTCTGTGTTTGTAGCCTTACCCAAAGAGCATACATGAATCACACTTGGCTTTTTATGGTTCTTATTATCCAAAAAGCTTAGCAAAAGATTTTATGATTCTCAGCTAGAGAAGTGCTCAGGAGTACACAATACCAAACCATCTAGCTAAAGTCTGTTTTACTTGCAGATAGCCTTTTTTGAGTATTGACTCAATTTAGAAAAACAAAATAATGTCACCGGTATCACATGAGTGTATCAGTGCACCGCTGATGTTATAAACCCCTTGTTACTAAAGGTTTAGAGAATGAGTGCCACCAGCACAAAACATTAATGACTTGGCTAAAGCAAAAGAGATGCAAATATAACACAAGTACTCAAGAAGACATATTTTTACATCAAGAAAACATATGACAGTACATATTTTTTAACAAAGAGGAAATTGCTGTAATAGCAGCTACATGAGGCTCTGCCTAACATGACTATTACCTTTCTCTTCTCAAAATTATACCAGCAAATCAGAGTATATACCAAACTCTTACACTGGTAGAACTCAAAACTTGGCAGATTTTCTCCTTTAAAAAAAGAGGCAAAAGGTACTCTTCAGAGTAAACAGCAACCATACATGGCCACTATGCCTAGGAAGTTTATTTCTGTGAGGAGTGTAGCAAGCAAAGACATGTATTTCCAGGGAGAATTACATACAAGTGCTGTTACATTTAGGATATTGGTACCTACACTGATTCACTGAAGAGCTTTGGATTTTGCCAAAAAACCTGAATGAAGCACTACTGCTCAAGCAAAAAAAAAAAACCCAAAACCGAAAATAACAACAACAAAAAAAATCTTACAGAAACCTGAACTACCAAGCAAAATGGCTTGAAACCAAAATCATAAAAAGGAAAAGCTACATGGGAAACTGTATTACATAAGGAGGGGATAACTGGTATCCTGAAAGAGCCTGAAGTACATGATTACAATTATTATTTAGCAGAAGAGGCTTATTAAATAAGGGATTAGACAGTGTACCTACAATTCAAAAGGGAAAATGAGATACAAATGAACAAGTGTCCAGAATAGGAAACTGTCAAAACAGTATATTGCTCTCATGAAGTATTCTCTTGGACACAGCATCAGAATAAAAAAAAAAAAAAAATAAAAAATAGGAATGGAGTTCTAATGCTCCTATTTTAATACAGACAATTTAAGATTTGTGACCATGTAAAGTAATCAATGCTGCAAGGAAGAATGGCTACTGCTGTAAGCACTTTTGCAAAGCACAAGAGCACATGAAGAATGGAGAAGCTGTTAAGATGATCTCAAAACCATCAAAATTACATACAAAGTAGGTATTTGACGTTTCTGTGAACAACATTTTAGCTCTGCTCCCCATCATCTTTTCTTGTTTAATAATTGTAGCTAGTTTCTGTTAGTTCTGTATGTGATCGGTGAGCGCGTGTTAAATGAAGTAATATTTTAGCAGACTAAAGATGACAACGCATATTTGGATTCCATCTCTTTTAAAGAAACTGCAGTTTTCCTAATAGAATGGATTCTCTAACACCATCTGGTGTTACAGAAAATGGCATCTGATATAAAATACAAAATCAAATAAAAAACCCAAACAAACTTATTTTTCTTTCTACCCTTCCCCACAGAAGTTAAAAAGAATCAAAGTAACATTTAAAGATTGGTCTACAGGTTTTGGACATGTATAGCAGAACTACATAAATAGCATACTTCTCACAGCTGCTTGCTTTACAACAGGGGACTGCTGATATGAAGGACTCCTGGATTAAATTCCATCCAATTTTAGACAGATAACTTACACATAATTTGAGTGGTCAGATCCTGGTACTCCTGTGCCCCCCAAGTTTAATGGGCTTCCTCCAGAAAACCCTGATTTTGTCTCATTTTTAAAAGCTGACAGCCATAACTTTCTTACCAAGGTCTTGGGTACTGATGCCATGAATTAATTTTGATTTGCTTACCATGGAAACACATAGACAAAGATGAAAGAGCCCACAAATAAAACAAGAGAAAGAGGTTAAAAGGCTTAGGATTTTTTTTTTTTTAGATAAGTTAACATTTCTTTCCAACCTTGCAAAAACAAAGGAATGTCTAAAGCATCCATGGAAGATGAGCTTTTCATTTTCTCCAGTTCTTCAGCAAACTTAAGACAAGCACAAGTCTGCAGCCTAAGGCAGATTCTACTGCAACTAAGACAACTTGACACTTCCAGTAAATGTCGTCAGACAACATCCATCCAGCTTAGAAAGAATTTTTTTTAAATTAAGCTTACAGATTCAGTTGTGCTTTTTATTTTCCTGGGAACAGCAGTGATTACTACAGTTTAGAATAACATAAATTATGGGAAGTTTTTCAGGTAATAGTTGTATCTGAACAGGTCAGAATTCTCTCTTCTCTCAGAGACATTTTCCTCCAGCCTTACATGCTCACAAAGTCCAAGCATCAAGTATGCAAGTACAATTAGATTCCCCTCATAGTCAAAGCCATTGGTCATCTAGTCATTGAGATTACAGATGGCAGCACTGGAGACCCCATTAACAGGAGATGCGAATACATTAATCAACAAGTCAATTTGTAATAAAGTTCTTGACCACTAAGACAAGAAGAAGGTAACTAACACATTCCTTAGCTACTCTAAAGTACGGCGGGCTGTACTGAATATTTTATTTTCAAACAAGCATCTGTGTACATTCTATTTCACTGTTTGTTGTATTTAGGAATAGTACCTCACAAATTTCCAGAAAGCTATTATTTTCCTCCTAACACACCTAAGAATTTATTTAGCAAAAATAAAGGACAAACCTGTTATACTTTATCTAACACACCAGAAAACATTGTCATGGATTTTTCTATTTACTATGTCTAAATTGGTCAGTTTATCCTGGATGATACACTCTTTGGGACAGGGACCATCAGTAATGAGCATGATTCAATAAAGACCCGAGTGCACGTTGGTATACAGAGCTTAGATGGTGGCTGCTACATACTCTTGATATTTTGGCAATACATTATGGAAGAAAAAATCACAGGCCCATTGAGCTTACTCACCTAAAACAACACTTGATATCAGGCAGGAAAGCACAAAATTTAAATTTATTCTTAGCACATTAAAAGAAATTTATGAAAGGTCCAGATCATTCCTGGCAGGCATCTCTCACTCAGCCTGCACAGAAAAGGAACAGAATCTGGAACCAAATAAAGCATACCCACACTTATAAAAATAATCTTCCTTTAACAGCCTTGCTGAGTTGTGAGATTGCTAATGAATGTTGTATACAAACAACATTCATGTATTTTAAAACTATGTGAATTGAAACTGTAGTATCATTCATTGATATTGTTAAATCTAAAGCTTGTCTCAACAGTTACACTGACCTGGTTTTTTAAGGACTTTAACCAGCCAATACGAAAGCATTTTAAAGTAAATTATATTCTAAGAAAATCCTAGTGCCAAATTCCCCCTTTTAACACAGTAAGAAAACAGTAAACATCCAAAAGGATGTTTTGAATGCACGAACAGACAAATCATGTGTCTGCACTAACAAAACAAAAAGACTACAAGCGAAACTGCAAAATGCTTAACAAATAACACCAAAATCAGAGTAACAAAGGAAGTCTGAACGAGTCTTAAGAAAAATAAGCTCGTAAACCTACTAATGTATTCTAAAGGTGTATCTGCACTGACCAAAAGGAAGCTACTATTCCCTAGCTATGCAGCGCCACACTTTTGAGTGTCGTGGTTTGAGTCAGTCTTTTCTGTAGTTTTAACAAACCATGAATATTTGGGAGAGAGGAAATAAACTGAAACAGACAAGTGAAAAACAAATGCAAAGATTTCTATTACAATAATCCATCAAACGAGAAGAAACAAAAGATTAATAAGATTATACAAAATGTTTTGATGGTAGGGTTTTAATATTTGCCATATGTCAGCATGAATAAT